CGCTCGCTTGCCGTCTGTCCGTCCGCGGCCCGTCCGCCTGTCCGCGGCCCCATGCGGGGGTGCGCGCGCACGGCCAGCATGAGGGGCGCGTGGTTCGAGGCCTCGTTCCGGGGGCACTCTACGCGCCGGGCCCGAGGAGGTGAGTGCTGACGGCGTCCTGGCCGGCACGGTGACGACGCGGTGCTCGTTGCAGGCCGAGGCCCGCGATGAGCGAGTCTGGCTGCACTGCAGCGCGACCGGCTGGCTTCCCCCGAAACCAGTTGTGCACCCTCGGTCCGCCTGGCCTGGGCCAGCCCGCCGAGGATTAACTACTCCACTTGCTGGTTTGATGCGTCCTGTCGATAGGCGGTTTGTGTTTCTTTCCCACGACTCGCCGCGGCAGGCTCTGCGGCTCGGCGGGGAGGGAGGGCGTCCAGGATTGTGCGGTACACTGGTACATGCGCACGTAGCACCGCCTAGCACAGCGTAGCGCCCATTCCGGCCGATGCGAGTGCTTTTGTTTTTCCGCCGCGGCTGTAAGTAATGCCTCATCTATCGCTCCGACGCTCTGTCTCTCTCGCACTCGCGGGGCGCCCCGTAGGCCCCGTAGGGGTGCGAGAGAGACAGAGCGTCGACGGCACCGCTCGCGGCGCCCCGCCGTGCCGCGGTCCGCGACGACGGTCGGACTTTCCCGGCGCGGCGCGGCGTGGCGTGGTCAGGGACAAGGAGGACAAGAAGGGCGAGAGGCACGAGGGGGTGGCGTCGTCCAGCCGAGTGGCTGCACATCCCGGCAAAAGGATTAGCCGGCGTCAACTGGAGCACACGGCGAAAGGGATGTAGGGAGAGAGAGAGGACACGTAGAAAGGGAATCGAATTAGAATCTACTTGCGACCGACCGATGGCCAGTTGTGAGAGGGGGAGGGGGAGAATGGCGAGGAGCAAAGAAAAGGGGGACTCGGTGGCGTCGAGGTCCCGTCGAGGTGGCGGTGGTGTGCACAATGCACTTGGCGGCAGCTGAACCAGCGAATCACTTGATTTGCAATAGTGCGCCAAGCCGAGTGGAAAGCAAGCGTGTGCTAAATGTCCATGTGTATGTATGTACATCTGTGTGTGTGTGTGTGTCTGTGTGTGTGTGTGTGTGTGTGTCTGTGTCTGTGTGTGCGATTTCCGTTATCGCGGCTGGCTCTAATTCGCTCGTTCGGGGGTGGCACCGCTTCGCACTGCGTCGCACCGCGTGGAGTCCATTTGGGCTGCCCTCGCGAAACGCGCCCGCCGCGTTCCCACACACTGTGTGACACACAGGTGGGCCTCGCGAGGCGAAGCCGCGAAGCCGCGAAACCGAACAGTCGGACCGCCAAGTGGTGCGGCAGTGCGGCCGCGGCGGGCCAAGTGCTTTTTCATTCATTGTCAGCGCCTTTCTTTGTTCCTTCATTTTCGCCAATTACCCAACCAAATGTTTTTACCGCGTACTTTTTTTTTGGCGTTATTTAATTTTTTTGCCTTCTCCCACACACCGCGGGATTGGCCGTTTTCCCTTGCGCCGTGCCCGCCGCGGTGTTGACGGGCGTAATTGTCAAATTGCGCTCCGTTGTTGTTTTTTTTTTTCGATTTTAATCCCGGCGAGCTCGCCTAGGCCGTCTTGATGTATGGGCCGCTAGATGGCGCTGCAGGGAGGTCCGCGATTTGACGGACCCGGCCGGCCGCGCGTCTGAATCGCCGTGGAACTACCTTCGCGCCTCGGGGCCTGTGATTACACTGTGATGACAAAGCGCTGCCGTGCCCCAAGTGGGGCCACCAGTCTAGGCCCCCCTGGGCCGCCCCTGGGCCACAGGCCGGCCCCGCTCTGCTGGAGGTGGTTAGGCCCCGACACTAGTCTCTTTTTATTTTCATCCCGTTCTCTTTCCCAACGTTCATCAAGTCTTTGGAGTTTATTATTTTTTGCCCCGCTCACACCTATTCCCGCAATCCATCGGACGTAACGCGCGTGTTTGTTTTGTCAGCTTTCCAAGCTCCCTCGTATTTTTATTTTTTTATGATCATCGGTCATTTTTTTTACCTTTCCTGCTGGAATATAATGTAGTCCCTTGGGGGAGATAATATGTTGAGCGTAAGCCAACTACTACCTCTATCATCACTCACACACGCGTCACGAGGAGAAGAGAAGGGGAGGGGGAGGGAAAAAATTGGTAAAGAAAAAGGTTTTTGTCGAAAAAAAATACTAAGCGCAGGTAGTACAGTGGGGTGGCTCGCACCGAGATGCGCCAAAGTGCATCGATTCCTCGATTCCGCGCGCAGCCGCGCAGCTGTCGCTGCAGAAGTGGATAAAGATAAGCCACTTCCGCCTCCCCTGATGCCTAATGCGAGGGGTGGGCCGGCCGGCTGGATGGATGGATGGATGGATGGATGGATGGATGGATGGACCGGCTGAGTGGTGCTATCTCCCTCCCGCCCACGGGGCGTTCCGTTCGGGTGAGAGAGAGAGAGAGAGAGAGAGAGAGAGAGAGAGAGAGAGAGAGGAGAGAGAGAGAGAGAGCGCGGCGCGCGCGCGACGGTCGGCGGTGTGGTTGTGTTTTGGGGAGGAATGCGCCTGATTGTCGCGTGAAAACGGACACGAAGGGGGAGCGGAGCGCGCAGCGCGCCCTCTTTCAAATGGCGCGGTAATTTGCTATTATCCGCACGAAAGAGAGAGAAGCGCGTGAGGGAGAGGAGCGATTTTCCGTATGAAAAATGCGGAAACGATAAAAATGGTGTCAAATACGCGATGCGTTCCGCGACTCCGCTCCGCTCCGCGCCACGGCCGTCACTCAGGCCGGCCTTTGTTGGGACTCGGTGGACATGGACCCCGCCAACCCCAACCCCAACCCCGGCGGCGGGCAAGGTTAGGCAAATCAGAGCGCGAGGAGCGAGCGTCCGTCTCTGCCTGTCCGCCGCGTCCCGTTGCCGGGCCGTGACGGCACGCCGCGGACTTGGTGTCCGTTTCGAGTCCCTCGAGTCCGCGTGCGTGGAGGACGGGACGGGACGCCTCGGCGGGTAAGGTGATCGATTGGCGTCAAATTATCCCTGCCTTTCCTGGCCCCCTCCCCCTCCCCTTCAGACGCGCACCTGGACTCGGGCAACCTGATCTCCTCTCTCCCTCTCGCTCCCTCTCCCCGCCCTGCAGTGTGCGCGCGCCCGGCGCCTCGCTGCCGCGGCGTAGGCAACCCAACGGACACGGCCCGCGGCAGGGAAGCCTGCTGACCGGGCGCGGCGACGCGCCGCTCGTGCCCCAACGACGGGAAGTCGATTTGTTTTTTGAAACATTCGGACAGGCGTGCCGAACCTTTGTGTGAAGTGCGACTCGTCGCCCGGATGGACATTTGGATTAATGACTTCGGACGCGAGCCAGTGACGCTGGCGCTGCGTTTACACGGACGGGCGGGGCGGGGCGGCCGAACTATCCATCCCATATCCAGCACCGCGGCACCGCGGCGGGGAGCCTCGCCGCCTCGCCCGAGTCTGTTGTCCGGCTGCACAGTCCATTAGCGATTCGGCGCGTCGGCCGGTCCGCGTCACGCCGTGGAGGCTGGTGCGGTGCTTCGCCACCACGCCGCCCCGACCAGCCACGCCGTCGGAAGAAGAGTTGCCATTAATAATTTGCTCGGCCGCGCCTCGGCGCCGCACTGCAGGCCGTGGAGGCCCCTGCGCTGAGGGCTTCATCATCCTGTCGGTGGGGCGGGGGCGTCGCGGGGCCGCGTGCCGTACCGCCGCGGTCATTACGGCCGCCATTTGGCCAGCCCGTTCGCGGGCCAGCACACTCTCCGTCTCTGTCGCACTCGCGGGGCGTCCCGTGGGGGCGCGAGAGAGACAGCGCCGCAACGACGCCATTGCTGCTCTGCAACGCCGAGGGGGCTGATGGGGTTCTTGCACCGGATTTACTCGTGGAGCTCGGCGTGGCGCCTCTCCTTGTTGTTGTTTTTGTTGACGGGCTCGCCCGGAGACTTGGACGCCGGGGAGCTGGTTCTGGTTCTGTCACCCGGTGGTGGCGGGGCGGGGCGGGGTGAGCTCATCAATCACAGACGCGGCACGCGGGTACGACGGGTACGACGGGTGGGTCCCGGACGGCTACTCGTTATCTGTCGTGTCTTCCAGCAGACTGATTCCGAGAGCCGTTTTCGTGGCCCTGTCTCTGTCGCACTCATGGGCGCCCTGTATACAGGCGGGAGAGAGACTCAGCGACGCTCGGCATCAGTCTGCTGGAGGCCGGTACCGCGGCCTGGTATGCAAGCCGCGCCCGCGGAGAGGGGAACGTGAACGAGGGGAGGGACCGGTGGGGATCCCCCCGTGTCCAGGCCGCGTCGTCGCCAAGTTCAAGCGGCCCTGCGCCGCGCCGCACGGCGAGCGCCGTGCGGGTAGGCCGCGCCGCGTCCGGGACTGCCGGATGGGCTGCCTACCCTCCGGGCGCTCTCCGTCGCGACTCGCTGCCTGCGACGTGAGGCCGGACAGTGCCCGTGGCTGTGCCTGTGGCCCGGACAGGCAACCGGGCCGTTGGACTCGGTGAGTGTCGACGCAGACGACACGCGGGGCGCCGCCTGGCTGGCTGCCTGGCTGCCTGCCTGGCTGCGTGACACGCCGCGACGCCCGATCGGTAGGCGTGGCCCCCGCGGCCTCGCATGCACACGCCGCGCCCCGCCGTCGCCCTCGCCCCGCGTCGCTTTCACCCGCCTGGCCATGCAACGACCCCCCCCTCCCTTCCACGCCTGACTTGGCGCGCCGAAACGTTTTATGCTGAATTTCTCCAATTTCTTGCCGCCGCTCGGCGACCGAGCGACCGGTCCCCGGTCGCCCGGTCCCGGTTGGGGAGGGGGGAATTACTTCACGCCTGGGCAGCTGCAGGTGCGCGACCGGACCAGGCCGTGCCGATGTTGTCCAGGGCCACCTACAACACCGCTCGGGACTTATGGACTCGGACGAGGAAAACTTGTGTGAGTGTGTGGTGTGCTGTTTCTGTGACTAACAAGTTGTTTTTTTTTTTCGCCTTGCAGGTGAGTGGCGTAGAGCTGGCGTTGCAGATGGACGGGATTTCGGTGAGTGCATCGCGCGGGAGGGGGAGAAGGGGGAAGGGAGGGGAAGTCCTCAGCTAATGAAGGGCTGCAGGGTCCGTCCTACTGTAGCCAAGAGTGTGTGTCGTCTGTGTGTGTGTGTGTGTCATGCTGCTTACCATAACGAGCACGCTGGTCGAGGTACCCGTAGCGTGGCTTGGCGTGGTTAGCAGTGCGCGCTCACACACACACACACACACACACACACACACACACACACACACACAGAGCGAGGGGCCTTTGCTAGCTCGGGCAAAAGCAGAGCACGGACCGCCGCAGGAAATGTCAGTTCTGCCACCCTCCCTCCCTCCTCTCCCTCTCCTCTCCCTGCCCACCGCCCCTACCCGCCCGTACCTAGTACCTCTCTAGGCAGTCGAAGAAACTCTAGAAAGGAAAAAAAGCCAAGTGGATTCTGGCGCTGCCTGGCTGGCTGGCTGCCGCCGCTTCGTATGCAAGGCTCCTTGAGCAACCGGGAGTCGCTCTGTTTGGAGTTGATTGCCTTAGCGGCGCTCTGCGGGCCACGGCGATTTAACGCTCAAAGAAAGGCTCGGGAAAGCAGCTGCAGACTGATTCCGAGAGTCGCTTTCGTCGCTCTGTCTCGCTCTCGCACTCATGGGGCGTGCCGTATAGGTGCGAGGGAGGCAGAGCGATGAAAATGACTCTCGGAATCAGTCTGCAGTCCGCGGCCTCGCCGCCAGCGCCGCCCCGCAGCGCCGCCGCCCATTGATTAGCAAATCTGCAATTTTCCCGTTCTAGTTTGCATTTTTTGTTCGTTGGCAGTAAACTGTCCGGACAACATAATCGGGCGCAGGCGGGTCCGGCACCGCGGCACCGCCCTCGGGGGCTTTGTGTCTATGGCGGTGTGCGGACTGTCCCGACGGTCCCTGCCGGGCCCTGCCGGGTTTCCGGCTCCCTGACGTCACCTCTCTCCTCTTTTTGTTTGCTCCGTTTCTGCCCTCCGTTGTCCTGTCGAGGCTTTGAGCTCCCCCTCCTCCTCCCCCGGCGCTTCCTTCTTCCTCGCTCTATTCACTTTGTAATTGCGGCACTTTTTTCACAATTGCCCGTCGTCCGTCCGCCAATAGCGCAGACTCCGCGGCGTGACCTGGAATGCCCCCGGCGTGGCGCGCCTCCCGACCGCCTGTTCAAACGGACAGACCTCAATGGACACGTTTTGAGGGCTATGAACTCCAAACGGGACTCGAATCGAACGCATGACCCCACCAGTGGGTTCCTCTTTCCAAGAGCTTTCCATTGGTGGGGTCATGCGCTGCGTTCGAGTCTCAATGCTGGAATCGGACTCCGAAAGGTGTCTGTGGCGCCTCCACTGGACTGCAGACCGGCCACGTAACGTACCGCTTCTCTGCGCCGCGGATTGACTGCCGATCACCCTCTTCGATCCAGATCGATCGGCCAATAAGCGGCACTTCTCGTGCTCGGCCAGGCTCGGCCAGGCTGCGCCAGGCATCGCAATCGCCGGCCCGACGGCCTGGCTCACGACCCGAGCCAGCCAGCCGGGCGCGGCGCCACGGCTGCAGTCAGCCAGAGCCAGCCAGTCAGCCGACAGACAGTGATGACCTTTGCGCTCGCTCTAGACGTCCCTGGGACGTCCTGCTGCACGGCCTGCACGGCCCCGGCTGGAGTGCACTTTATGGCCTGCAAGGCGATGCGCGGCCCTCGGCGCCATCGCACAGTGGGCCAGAGGACCGGTGGAGCGGCCAAAACTCTAGACGCGTTTTGAGCTCCAGAGTCGCTAAGTGGGACTCGAATCAAACGTGTGACCCCACCAATGGATTCCTCGTTCGGAGAGCAATCCATTGGTGGGGTCACACGTTGGTTCGAGTCGTGTTCAGCGACTCTGGAGCTCAAAACACGTCTAGAGTTTTGGCCGCCTCCACCGGTCTTCTGGCCCACTGTGCCTCGTCCAGAGCGGCCCGGCCGGCCTCGGCGCTGGAGTGACTCTCTGGAGCGGCTCCAGCGCGCCGCCGGCCGGAGTGTCGCTGGAGCGACTTCACAGTGCAGTCGCTGGACGCACCGCCACTGCCTCGCACTCTCTTTCTCCCGGCCATCCTGGCCGGGCTTTCGCCCAGTAAAGGGCCGCACAGTGGGCCAGAAGCCGGTGGAGGCGGCCAAAACTCTAGACGCGTTTTGAGCTCCAGAGTCGCTAAATGGGACTCGAACCGAACGTGTGACCCCACCAATGGACTCTTCATTCGGAGAGCAATCCATTGGTGGGGTCACACGTTCGGTTCGAGTCCCTTTTAGCGACTCTGGAGCTCAAAACGCGTCTAGAGTTTTGGCCGCCTCCACCGGCCTTCTGGCCCACTGCGGCACGGCAGCGCGTCGACACCGACCTCCAGGACGATAAATCCGAAAGGGGAATGGATATGAAAAACGCTGCACGCCGAATCTTAGTATTGATGGCGTATTAATGGGGGGCGTCACGTAGAAAGTGGTGGTCCGAGCCGAGCGAGCCGAGCGGCACGCCGACGACGAGGGGAAAGGTCACCGAGACCCGCTCGGCCAAGGGCCCGGCGCGGCCAGGCACGGCCCGCTGGATGAGAGGTAGCTGCTGGGCTGGACCAGGTCGGGCCGCGTCGCACCTCATCACCTGCCTCGGACACACTCACACACACTCACACACACACTCACACACACACACACACACACACACACACACACACACTTACACACACGGCTCGGAAAACTCTCTCACCGTCCGTAAAAGGCCATTCGGGCGAGCGTACAAAGAAGGCAGCGCGCCGCGCAGCTCGGCGTTTTACGTACAAGATTTGAAAGCCGATAAAAATAGGCAAAGAAGTAGTAGTCGTGTTCGGCGGGTCGTTTCTCCAGCCGCCGCTGCCGCCGCTCCGCCGCAGCCAGACACACTTGCGAGTGACGCGCTGCAATGCGCTGCACGCATTCAGGTCACGGCGTGCAGCGAACCGCGGCGGCACCGCGGCGGCACCGCACCGCGCGCAGCAGGCTCGGAGCAGGGGTTGAGGACGCGGCGGGCGCGGCGCGGCGCCAGCAGACTGATTCCGAGAGTCGCTGTCGTCGCTCTGCCTCTCTCGCACCGTCACGAGACGCCCTACGAGTGCGACAGAGACAGAGCGACGAAAACGACTCTCGGAATCAGTCTGCTGGTGGCGCCCCGCTATGAATACGTATCGAACGCGCCAGCCAGCCAGCAGGCCAACAAAACCCGCCAAAAAAATAATAACAGTTAAAAGTGAAACATTTATTTCATGTTTGTCGGGTTGGTCGCGACGAGGCGGTGATATGATGCGCGGGCGTGCTCAGTGCTAACGGTGCGGGCGGGATGAATTTGGAGCGCCTGAGTAGTGTAGCGGAGGGAAGGGCAGATTGGACGTTGACATTTGCCCTCCAGTGTGTGTGTGTATGTGTGTGTCCGAGTGTGCACGCGGGCATGCGGTCGAGGCGCGAAGTCGGCTGGGAAAGAGAAGGGATACGCTGCTCCCTGCGATGAGCGAGTGACCTCAGTGCCAGCAGCATCATAAGAGGAGGAGGAGTTGTGTAACGAGGCCGTAAGGGGGCCTCACTTCGGGGCCCTGGCCTGGCCGGCCGGACGGCTGGCCCGAGCCTTTTGGGGCGACGGGCGACGCCTTGCCATGACGCTGCACCGGCGAGGCGACGGCGACGTCGCGGAGGAAGCCGTCAGCCTGGAGGCGACGTCGCGGTGGCGGCCACCTGCCACAATTAGCGCCTCAGCAGGCTGGCTTGGAACTGCGCTCTCGTCGCTCTGTCTCTCTCGCTCTCGTGATGGTGCGTCCCCTAAAGAGACAGAGCGACCAAAACGACTCTCGGAATCAGTCTGCAGTGCTGTGGTCCTGCGGGCTGCCCTCGCTGCCCCAGCGTCCCGCAGCCCTGCGACGGGCGTCCTCGTCCAGGGCTCGCAAGTCATCCCGCGACACGGCGGCGGCCCGGCGGCCACGACCACGACAGCGTCCCTCCAATCAGACAGCTGGTCGTTTGCCTTTGTTTTACGTCGTGTCCGCCGGCCTGCCCGCCTGCCCGCCCGTCGGTCGGCCCGGCCGAAGGGACAAGAAAACGCGAAGCTCAGCGAGCCGTGCCGCCGCCGCGCCGCCGCGGGGTTCCGAACTGTCACGTCAATCGTTTTCGATGTGGCAATTCGTGTCCTTTTTTTCGCATTTCCATCAGGCTGCGCCTGGAACGCCGGCCTGGAGCCTGGAACGGCCGGAGGGTCCTGTGGGAATAGGTTTCGGCATGCCGGCTCATTACTGCGTCCCGACGCGTGTCCCCGGAGAGCCGGGAGGGCCGGGAGGGCCGGGGGAGGAGAGCCCAGCGCTCAGGGCCGGCCGGCCGGCGAGGCAAGACGTAAGACCGCAGTGTCACACTGGCATTGGCACACGTGCAAGTACACGGAGATCGCATTCCGCGAGTCCGCGCTTCGTCGCTCCTTGGGCCGAGGCGTGCGGGTGCGAGCGAGACAGAGCGACGAAAGCGCTGCGCTGCTGCGACTCCCTGGAAAGGGCGAGGCAGCTGGGCCCCGCCGCACCGCCGTGCCCCGCCAGGCTGCCGCAGTATGCGCGGCATCCCGAGTGACCTCTGCGACCGCCGCGCCGCGCCGCACCGCCCTCCGTGTTCCGCGAACCGGCCCGACCAACGGGGGAGGGAAATAGAAAATCGCAGAGCAAAAGGGGCGAATCGGGGCGAAGGCGGCGTCCAGGATCCAGGGCAGCGCCGCGACGCACAGTGGGCCAGAAGACGGGTGGAGGCGGCCAAAACTCTAGACGCGTTTTGAGCTCCAGAGTCGCTAAACAGGACTCGAACCGAACGTGTGACCCCACCAATGGATTGCTCTCCGAACGAGGAATCCATTGGTGGGGTCACACTTTCGGTTCGAGTCCCATTTAGCGACTCTGGAGCTCAAAACGCGTCTAGAGTTTTGGCCGCCTCCACCGGTCCTCTGGCCCACTGTGCGACGCCGCGGCACGCAGCGGACC